TATCTTCTCACGGAGGCCACAGTTCTTCCCAGCACTGGGAAACCGTCTTACTCTTATTTTCCTTCTTGCAGGGCATTTGCTACCTTCTATTTTATCCATAATGATATCCCTCTCTAGAATGTAAACTCCTCGGGGGGAAATCTTTGTCTGTTTTGATAGTTTGATGGTTGTTGTATTTCAGGTGCCTAGAACAGTGCCTGAAATATGGCTGTGGACAGAGAAAAATTTTTCAGTGGATTAATGAGAAGGCTTAGCAAGGGTGGGGCTGCTCTGGAGCCCAAAGGATCCAGTTAGGATAGCAGAGTGGAACAGTTCCCCAGGCACCGTTCACTTTGTCAGTGCACCACAGTAACCATTTAGATGAATTTATGATCATTGGGTTTAAATACCACTTCTTCTGCAAAAAGCAGTAAAGGATCCATAAAAGGCAGGTTCTTTGCCCTTTCCTAAGAAGAAGCATTAAACTTGATTAAATTTTTAACCTTTTCATCTCTGTGAAAGAATATGCATCCAAGTTGTTCTAAGGAAATGAATCTCATATAATCATTTTATTATGAGTTTTAAAGTGAGATGGCCAAATGCCTATGTGGGAATTTAAGAATCTTTTTATAATGACTGGTTAATAGATACAACCCAAGGATTAGTGGTTATCTTCCACAGGAGATGACAGTAAACTTTTAAAGTCCATATATCCCAAGGAGACTAATTGTTGAGATGTTTTGTGACAAAATACAAAACACGGCACATCCTTCCGTAGGTTTAAACTAACTTTTCCAATATCTGCAAGTCTGGTGACTTGAAAACTTCCCTACCACTTGTCCTCATCTTCTTCAAGTGGCTTTTCCTAACACCTGCTAACTGGAAGCCTGAAGTCTATGCTTCAGAAAGATTTTTAGTAACCACAGCTAACCAGAGAAAATAAGATGATGACAAGATCGCAGTTCCTACAGTGAAGAATTTTTCATCTTCCCGTGTCCACAGTTCATTCCCTTGCCCCATAGCCAGAATAATATTAGCTCTTCTCGTCAGAACTCCTTGAGACTGGTGTGTTATGGTTTAGATCTGCAATGTCCCCCTGTGTCTCATGTGTTCAGAGTTGGGGCTTTTGGAAAGTAAGTGGATCGTTGGGGTGCTGTACTCATCTGTGGATTAACCCATTGATGAGTTCATAGCTTTGGTTGGGTGGGGCCTGGTTTGAGGTGGGTCACTGAGGACATAGCCTTGAAGGGTATGTTGTTGTCCCTGGCTCCTTCTTCTCTCACTGGTTCCTTACTGCCATGCATTGAGCAACTTTCCTCAGCCAGGCCCTCCTATTATGTCATTTTTTGCCTTCTTGAGCCAGCTGACTATGGATTGAACCCTCTGAAAGGGTAAGCCAATTAAGACTCTCTTCCTCTATGTTGCAGGTGTCAGGTATTTGGTACCCGTGATGGGAAAATGACTACTAGAAATAGACTGTGGTTTCCTGAAGGCCACACAGCCAGTATGTAGCAAAGCTAGTTTTCAGTCTTCTGGAATTGGGGAATTTCTGTTTTATTTAATTCTCAAATGACTGTCATAGAGTGAGCAGCTCTTCTGCTTTATTGCTGTACCATTTCTGCCCTGGAGCCAGCCAACCATGGACTGAATTGACTGAAACCACGAGCCAAGTTAAACCTGTCCTCCTTTACATCGTGGGTGTTGTATACTGTGCCAGAGCAATGAGAAAGTAACTAATCTTGCAGTGGTTTTAAAACTGGATGAAAGTACCACTACCTACGAACTTTGAAATGCCCTCTAGGTGATTTTGATATATGTCTATTTGCAGAACTACAGTTAATGCCATGGAACAGTTTCCCTCTGCCTTATTCATATATCCTTAGCAACTAAGAAGATGTTGTTGAATATGCATTATGTAATTGTTTTATATAAATACTTTGGCTTCTTATTTCAGATATAAACTATTTTATTACAAGACATACCTCCCAGGAAATTTTGCTTTGTGCTTCATGCCTCACCTATTAGATAATTCCTACACTAGAGAATATTTAAGAGCCTTAAATATTCTGGAAGGCCCTTTTCTGATCCAATGACTGAGGGAAATTTGATTTCCATATTATTACTGAGTATCTATGCACAAGGCAAGGCCCTCCTTTGGAAATTTCGAATAAGTCCCTCAAGGCTTGTTCAATTTAAGAAGCACTTTCTAGAACCATGCCTAATTCCAGAGAAAACCAAATTAAGTCTTACCAAAAAGTCTTATGGAATTGTATTCTTAGAAAACATGAATTCTTGTCAAAGCTAAGGAAGAATTGCCTGCTTTTGATGCCAGGATTAACCATGGCCATGAAATTCCTTGGAAAGACCTCACTGGTACTGATAACTGTAAAACCCTAGAGTGGCTTTTAATAGAAAGCAGAGAAACAGTCATGTCTCCTCTTAGTAGAACATGTGGACCCCAGATCACGTTTTAATGATGGAAGATAAATTAAGAATGATCACCGGAACTCATTCTAAGCCTTGATTTTTTTTCCCCCAGTTTTCTTTAGTGGCATGTGTTAGTTTAGTAACCAAAATAACAAACATACCTTACAAAGGCTCTAAAAGGGTTAAGCATCAATACAGAAAATCTTGGTCAGAGAAAACAGTGTGCCCACGCTGAAGAAATCGTAATTAATTTAATTGTCTCCTTTGCTATGTGTGCTAAATGCTATTTCTCTATACTTATGATCACACACCCATTTTGATATTCTGGAACTGAGATCTGACATATGTTTGTCTCTTTATGAAATTTTTTGTGATCTAAGCAATAACTGCTTTCTAAATACAGTAAATATGTATACATGTGTGTGTGTGTGTGTGTGTGTGTGTGTGTGTCAGCCTATTTTTCATTGCTATAACAAAGTACCTGAGCCTGGACACCTTATAAGAAAAGAATTTTATTTAGTTCATAGTTTTGGAGGCTAAAAGTGCAAACAGCATGGCAAAGCCTCTCTGGTAGAATCACTTGATGCATTGTTTCATAATTGAAGCATATGCTAGAAGGAAAATATCACTTGGTTAGACAGAAAGCAGGGTCCTCTGCTTTGTAACAGGCTCACTGTTTTGTAACACTGTTTGTAGACTCACTGTTGTGTAACAGCTCACTATCTTGAGAACTAACTCAGAGTCCCGTGAAATTACATTAATCCCTTCTGAGGGCAAAACCCTCAGTGACCTAACCATCTCCAAGTGACCCCACCAAAGGTCCCGCCACCTCTCATCCTTTCACACTAGGAACCACACTTCTGTCATGTGAGCCTTTGTACAATGAACCACAACCAAAGCAGAGCAACGTGCACGTGTTTCTTTCTGATCAGTGCAGTTAACAGTCACCAGGAATAGTATTCTGGTAAGGTTGATCAACCAGTGCTAAAAATGAAATAGCCCCATTTTGTAGCAGTTGTTAATTTCCACGGTATAAATATCCTCACCATGACCGACTTCAGGCTATCGGTGTGATGTCATTGCAGAGAAAATTTTGGAAAGAAGTGCACACTTGATATTGTTACATTATTGACTGTCGACTCTGGTACATCATTGAAATGTAAACTATGTAGAAAGCAAATGGAAGGATTTTTAAAATTCAGAGGAAATTTATAATAGTGTAGCTGAGAACAAAATCAATTTAAAATGGAATTATATTTGTTTATTTTGTCTACGTGTTTTTATGTAATTGTAAAATTTTTCTATGTAGAATTTTGTGTCTTGTCTTTATGAACATCATTTTAATGGCTGCATGTTATTCCACCACATGGATGTAGGATTATTTACTGGCCTTAATTGTGGACATTTAGGTAACATTTCCTCATTTTTTGTTATCGCTATAAATAATGTTCTTTTTACTTTACATTTCTGATTGTTTCCCTAAGACGAGTTCTTGAATCAAATTATTTCAATTGCAAGTCCTGGTACCGCCTGGAAAGTTTTGAAAGCATTGAGAATTTTCTGATGTATATATTATACTTGTTCATTGTCTGCTTCCTCTTAAACAGTATAAGTTCATGAAGGCAGTCGGTTATCTCTTGGATCAAGGGGAGTATGGGACACTTAATTGGTATTTGTTGAATAAGTATATTTCAGTCCTCTATCCAAAGGTTTAATGTTGGCTTTATACAATCAATTAACATGTTTTCTTTAAACACCAAAGATGGCAACAATTTACAATATTGTAACAAATATATTTTTTAGGTGGGTTTAAGCATTGTTTTTAGTAAGCATGTTAATATTTGTATGTCAATAAATTTTCCATTGTAACTTTTTCCATTCAAATTTCACTTAAAATTTTTTGTTCATACAGCCATCACTTTTCTACTACACTTTATTCTAACATTTTTATGGCCTGATTTTTTAAACTTGTGACTCTTTAATTTGTAATTAATTTTCTTACATATCTTTAAATTAATACTGAAAATGCTTTCATTTGTTTTAATGTAACCTATTATTAGGTTTTTGTTGCTGTTAAGGATATCAGGTCATTTTATAACCATGCTTTGTAATATTTTAAAATTTAACTTGAATATTTTCCTCTCATGGTCAACCTGTAGGAGTCAAATCTCAATGGACATTTCTTAATAATCTCTAAGATATTTCATGACAGTATCTCTCTATTCTAAAAGCACTTTGCAATATGTACTAAACCTATTTGCGTTTGTTTTAGTTATCACTACAAGTTCTGATAAGATACAAAGCAAATAAATGGAAATATGATAGGAAGTTGGGTTCCCAGAAATGAAAATATCAGAGACTAAAGTCAAATCTTTCTGTAGCCACATTTTTCCTGAAGCGCCTGCCAGGTGTCACAAGGATTGCAGAACTGACCCTTTTATTGGCACCGTGTTAAGCTTGTGCCTTCCCCGTAGTGGCCACTTGATAAACATGTGTGCATTGATTGCACTGAACCTTAGGGCCTGAGGCCTTTCCAGGCAAGGGTCCCCAGGACCAGCTTTCCTTCTCCATCTCTCGTTTTCTCCTTCTCTCAGCTGCGGTCCAGCACAGAGCTCCACCCAGACCTGCTCACAGATTGCCTCGCTGTGCAGCCCCTCCAGCCGGCCGCTTCCCCGAGAGACACTGCTGCTGATACCACCCTGGGACGGTCCCCAGGGCCGGGGCCAGACCTCTACACAGGTAAGAACAGCAAAGGAAGAATCAGTCCCACCACTGCCCTTTTGTTCTCTCTGGTTAAAGGGGAAGCTTATATGAAGAAAATTCTTCTAAGATCACTTGCATTTTACTTTATCAGTTAGCTGAAAAATTGCTCTCTTTTTCACGTGATTTGTGAGCTGGGTTTGGCAAAGCCTGTTTTGTTTTAGTTTGGTTTTTCCCCCCTCTGATAAAGGAACAAAGTAAAATTCTGCATTCGCATCTTTAGTTGTGGACTTCTGCCAAAAGTCCATTGTGCCCAATCCTCCCAGGTATCTTAAATTTACTAACTTGATACAGGCTTAGAGGAAATGTTTCTCCCTTAAGCAGGTAGCAGGCTGCATGTGCATTTCTTAATGGAACAGTCATTGTCATCTTTGCATTTTAAAGGAAGCCCCAGGTCTCTACATAAATTTCCCATCAGAAAACCCACTTGTAAGAATACTTATTAATGTTTGCTTACCATTAGGGAAGGGGAAGGGAATGGCATTCCCAGACCACCTTTCTTCTAAGTGGGTTTGAATAAGAAATAACTCTGTATTTGTAAAAGTACATGTATTCAGTGAAAAATAAGAAAGGATTAGTATGCAACAAGGAAGTCATTTTTCTTCTACTTTCTCAGCCTAGCTTTTGTGCATTTTTTACTCTATAATGGTGACATATAAACATTAATTATTAGCTCTACTCACTGTTATGTGATGAGTATGCAAATAAAGTCTCACTGGCTTCACATTTCCTACAATGGGAATTTTATATTTGTTGTGAACTGCAAATCTTACTTCCAGTCTCATCTGATTCCAGAGCCAGGCTTCACAGAAGGCTGCCTCCCCATTTGGAAATTCTAATCAGCTATAAAAAGTAAAGAACTATTTACTAATGCATCATAGTGGAGTAGGTGAAGGACACGCTTATACAGATTTTTAAACCTGAAAGTTCTCTGATGGTCCCCAAATATAGGGGAAAAGGACATTAAGCCTTCATTTCCAGAGTATCAGTCATCAAGATGTCCTTAATGACGGCCCATTGCCAGTAGAACTTTAACAGTTGCTTTGGGTTCTTAGAGGCAACCTAGGGTCTACTTTTTGAGGCCCAGTGAGATGAAGTTAAAACTCATGCAAAGGACTGAGCAACTCTTGAGAGAGGTTATACATACAGACAGATATACAAATACCACATATGCTATTGGACAGTGTTACCCACATATCTGTAAACATTTGGTATGAGATATACATACATGTGTAAAGCAAAACTAGCTTTTGTTTCTGTGTCTTGTTTTATGTGATAGTTGAGAAATGAATTTTTATTCCAGCCTATTAAATAGATAATCAGATTAAACAACTTACAAACATTGTCCTATTCCTCGATCTAGAAATCTTATCAGACTAAAGGCCTAGACCCAACAATGAAGGGTTAAAGCCAGTCAGAAGTGATTGAAAAATGAACCAGCATCCAGGATAGTTTCCAGTGGTGGGACATACCTTAATCAGTTTTTAATCACTAGGACATACACAGATTAAAGGAGAAAGGGTTTTTATTTGCTCATGGTTTCAGAGGTTTCAGTCCATGGTCAGCTGGCTTCAAAGAAGAAACATCATGGTGGAAGAGCATGGCAAAAGAAAATGGCTCAACTTATGGCAGCAAAGAAGCAGAGCAGTGAACAGTGTCAGAGAGGAAAGGGTGACCCCCAAAGTCAAGCCTGCCTGACCCATGCAGACACAGCCAGAAGTGAGTTTTACTCTTCCCCCAGGCAGCTCCCGAGCCAATGAAGTTGACACTTATGCTTCAAAAGCACATTCCAGTCTTGTACTCACACCTCTCAGGATGGGTTTGGAAGCCCTGATATCTGTGTCTGTGGGAACACCGGTGCCTTTGCTGAATGCAAATACAGCATGTGGTTCATTTCAGAGCAGTCCTATTTGTTCTAATCTGTGCTCCGGTGTGTCTTTTTGTGTCTTTAAAGTTTTGGAGTTTGAAGGTTCAGTTTGAAATGGCTTTATCATTTCTAGTCATTTTCTACTTTTTGTCCATGATGCTTTTCTATATTTAGTCTTCAAAAAGATCTTGAGCTCTTGACTTTGAGCCTGGAGCTATGGCAGCTCCCATGACTGGCGAGGAACCATAAGTTCCCACAGCTGTCAGCAGAGCATCTTCAGGTTGACCTACATTTTCTGTGACTCTGAGAACACTTTTAACTGGCAAGTGGCTATCTTCTTGAATTTTGTTCCTGGAATTTTACTTCTCCAGGCAGCTTATAACTGTGAACATTTACTCTCTCTGCTTCCTTAGTCCTTAAATCCTATTTTACTTTCTTGGCATCTGACTTTTTTAAAACAATGGGTTGTGCCTTTTATTTTGCCAAGTAAACAACAAGCCCAGAGGCAAAGCCATGCAGGAGAAAAACTGTGAAACAAATATCTTAAGCCTTCCTTTTAAGGTTCTAGAAATGCACTTGTAGAAAGTGCATATGCACATATTAGCTGCAGACCTGGCTAAAGATCCATGAAAAAAAGCATTTTGATAAAAGCCCAGAGTACATGAGAAAACTGTTTGTTAGTTAGTTAAATGTAAAATTTCAACTGTTGAGACAATTTGATGAGATTAAAACTTGGCTAAATGTTAAAATACTTGGAATTATTCTCTTTGTATTGTGTTACTACAAAGTCAAGAAAAGATAATTGTTTAAAAATTATCAAGCACAAGGCCATGCTCTTAAGTGATATAAATAGGACATGCATTTGTAAATACAGAATGGTTTCTCTGGTGTGAAAAACTGAGAGTGTAACTAAAGATCAAAGTGTATAATAGATAATGTGAAATAGGAAGGAAAGGTCCAAAGGGGAAGAAGAAGAGGTAGGCATAGGGGAAAGGAATAAAAATATCAAGCACATAGCATTTTAAACATTAGTGAATTGCTTTATCACAAAAATATTTTGATGGAAATTCATTAAGTAATGTAGCCATAGGATAGGAAGCAGTTAAATACGGCCTTGTACCTTATGATCTCTCAGAAAACATCATGGTTTTAAATGGAAATTTTTAGTGGCTATCAGATCGTGATTTACAAGATTTCAGGAGAGGGACAGTTTGCACAGCATTAAGATGGACAGGAAAGAGGGTGGTTCTGATGCATACAAATCTTGCACATCTCCTGGAGTGTTGGCTTCTCTTATTGAAACAAACTTTTCAGGTTGATAAGACAGAGCTTGATTGGAATGGATTGCCTGAAAAGACTTTGATTTCTGAGCAAGAAAGCAGTGTCCCTGGTTAAAGCAGCCAAATATAACTTGAGGCTATGCTGAGGATGATTGTAAATTGACATGCTTACCTTTCCACTGTCCCGAAAATTCCAGGGCTCCCCAGGCTGGCTCCCAAGCTAACCCAAGAGCAGTGTTGTGATCTAATGGGACAGTCAGGGCAGTGATGAGCAAGCCTGGAGGCCGGCTCACTTACACTTTCTGCCCTTTCATCCTGACATTCTCTGCCCCAGATAGATAAAGCCTGATGAGTCCAGCTTGTAAATTCAAGTGATTTGTCTGATGACCTAAGAGATTATTTCACAGCCAGTAGGTGGAGATGTGAATGTTGTTTCGAAGGCTTAGCAATTGTATAGATCTTCTGGTGAGCTCCTGTGATGAGCTAATGAAGCAGATAAGCCAAAATTTAGTAACCTCTGCAACATCATGGACATTAACCTGTTTGATTCCCTCACTAATAAAGAATGCTCTGCGGAAGATGATCTGTCCCTTGGGTGGTCACAAAAATTACAACTTTCTCCAAAACAAAGCTCTACTGTGGATAAGTAAGACACGGACCTTTGCAAATGACCTAAACCATGAAGACATCAAAGAGGAAAATTTGGTCGAGATGCGTGAGTTGCACAGAAACTACCTACAAGTGAGCAGCTGATGCAGCTGGAGCAAGAGAAACCTAGGAGAGTGAGACAGTTTTACTGGTACCACTTCTATTGGGGTTTAAATAATACTTACATTTAGAGCTTTCAAATCTTGTTACATTGTCCAAATTTTGAATGTAACTTTAGCTTTTTCAGAAAAAATAGGTATTCTGTCCATATGTTATGCAGAAATATAGAAGGAAAGTAGAAAGCTTCTTTTTAGAGTAGAAATTGTCAAAGTCATGTGTTCTCTCTGCTCTCATTCCTGGGAGATGAGGGATTCTCTGTACAGTAGCATCAGTTTTTGTAATAAATAGCACTGTGTTCAATCTATGTAGGATTTAACCTTCTTTATGAAATAGTGCTTAATTTTAGTGAAATTTTAGGGTATATGTTTTAGTACATTTTCCACATTCTTAAATAGAGTATATTTGCTGTCTTTGGACATTTTGCAGAGTTGTAAGTGTTAGAAATAATTTTCTGTAAAAGTGCCTCATATAGTCTGTTCTCAAAAAGTGGTTGTTAATTTAGGGACTTTTATTAGGGGGTTCTAAGTTGACACACTGATTGTCCCATAGATTGAATTTCACAGCAGAGTTGTGAAGATAAAACAGCGTGATCTTTATAAAATTATTTTAAAAGAGAGCTTTATAAAATTCATAGTTATTACTTGGATTATCTCCAGAAGCACTGCTTTGCTTGGAAATCACAAAGGTGAAAAGTTGACAAAGCGACTTTGGAATTGACAGTGGACAGAAGGAAGTGGAGATGTGGGGCGTGAAAGGGATTTAAAGGGAACATCTGACAAAAACATTTTTGTGATGTCTTACGGTGACGCCTTGAACTGTTGTCAGAATCTTGTACTCTTTTTTTGTAGCAGTTCTTGCTTTTGTGGTCTGTCCACTGCTTTGACCTGGAGAATCTGTGAGGGTAGGAGGCTCATCCTTCTCTGCTGTCATCACTGGGAAGTTTAACCTGTGGATGTAGCCCTTCCTAGGCCAGAGCCAATCTTGCAGTGAACGCCATATTGTACGGAAGCCTTGTGAATGCAGTTCTCTGGGCCCTGCCCTCACAGTGCCTGACTCAGCAGGTC